AACTTCCTTCGGTTACTAATTGCAAGAGCAGCAAAACTAGTGGTTCAACCAAAAAAAATCTAGGGCTCGAGGCTGCAGGGCGGTGCTAAGGCTGGTTCCGGGTTGTAAGGTTGCAGGCGATCGCGGGGTTCAGGTTCAAGCGTCGCACGGTTCCAGCTTCCATTGCGCTTGTAGGTGAAACATATTCAAACCAGGGATTGAAACCCAACAAACATCGCCGCTGAGAATTTAGCGATTGTTTTTCTCCCGTTGTGTTTCTGTCTGGGTTGTGCTCAAGTATTCGGGTTGCTTCTCAACGAGAACCGCCCAGAGAAGGGATAGGGAAGCAGCGGGCTCGTGGAGCCGGGGGGCCGTAGACAAGGAGTTCGGAACGGAAGCCATGGGGTACCGATTGGCTGAAACCCGTGGTTGATGTTGTTCCTCAGGTCGTCTTCGGGTGGGCAAGCTTTTGTCAAAATAGATGCGGAGCATGTAGAAAGGTGTAGGTAATGGAGTTAAGCTGTAAATCTTTTGATCCGTGCGCATCTTGTGGTTGAAACAGAGCAGTGCGAAATAGGAGGGTGTGGATGGAAGCTGTGGGGGATTGAGCAGGGAAACGCAGAGGCAGTGAGACGCAGCTGTCGGCTCGAAGTAACTCGGGGGAGTAGGGCACCATGGGCACGTCCCGCGGAGGCGTAGGAATGTCGATGGTGCTGCCGCAAGGGACATGTAAAAGGGTTCATGGCTAATAAAAACTAAGTCGCTGAAAAATGGACTACTCCCGGGTGAATTGGGTGGGGTGCCAAGCAGAGGTCGCTGAGAGGGCTTGTAAATGGACGGTTAACCATTGTTGCGTTGCATTGCGTCACCGTGCGCTTGGTGGGCTTAACATGTGCCAAACACGAGCCGACTTGGGCCTAGCTTGTGCCGAGCTCGGGCAAGTTGGACTCAGTTTGGGGCCAACTGGGATTCAACATAATATATGCCGCCTAATAGTAAACCCCCCCTAAATAAAATAGTTTTTTAAAAAAGTCGGGGGGGGTCAGCATTCCAATAGTAAATTTTTGGAACCTTATGGCTGGGATGGAGGCGAAGGAGGAGGACGAGGAGGAGGAGGAGAAGAAGGAGAAGAAGGAGAAGAAGGAGAAGAAGGAGAAGAAGGAGAAGAAGGAGAAGAAGGAGAAGAAGGAGAAGGAGAAGAAGGAGAAGGAGAAGGAGGACAACAAAATTGGAGTTGCGGAAAGAAGTTTCCACTATTGCCATGCCTGGTGCAGGTTTGTTATTGCTATTCTGGGGCTTGCAAAGGGGGTACCCTTTGTGGACCTGTTGTCTTGCTTTTTAATAAGGGTTCTATACGGAAATCCGCTGTTTGGTAATTGGATCAGATTTCTGGAATCTAAGCTTTTGCTAATCAAAAGTGAAGGCTGCTTTGAAAAGGATTTGCTTTACTTGACTCTTTTGGCAATACTAAAAGTAAATGGCGCTAATTGACTTTTAGTATTGGAGAAAAAATTGGAGTTGGGAAAAAAGTTTCCACTATTGCCATGTTGGGTCCACTATTGGCCATGCCCTCTGGACAAGGTCTGAACATGACTCTTTTGGCAATACTAAAAGTAAATGGAGCTAATTGACTTTTAGTATTGGAGAAAAATTGGAGTTGCGGAAAAATGTTTCTACTATTGACAAGATATCACTATTGGCTAGACACCATTAGCGCAATTTGTGCACGTTTGGACGCAAGTTGGGCGTAACATGCCCAACTTGGTAATGTGCGGGGGCATCTAGCGCCGAAGTTAGGCCCAAGACAGGCCCAATATGGAACCCCCAGCAAAGCGAAGAAAACTTTGGAAATAGCGGTCAAAATGCAAGTTGGGAGTGTTGTGTTGAACCCGCAAAATCGGCCCACAGCTCATGGGGAACATGGTTCAACACAATGCCACAGAAGACATTGGAAATACCAGTGAAAACGGGTGTTTTGTCCGGTCACGTGCCCCACCTTGGGCCGAAGTTGCTCCCAAACGAACGGGTCCAACTTGGGGCCAAGTTGCGCCATGTTGTAGCCAAGCTGGGCCCAAGTTGGAGCCAGATGGGTCCAAGTTGGGCCCAACTCGTGCCCTTGTTGGCCGAAGTTGACCACGAGTGGCCCATGATGCGGCCGTATTGGATCGAAACGGGGCCGATCTGCAAAAGGCGACTTACCGACTTACCACAGTCCCATGCACATTTTGGCGGTTCGCCCTGGCGAACATGGCCCCCCGCAGAAGCTGCACCAGACTGACAGATCGGTCCATTCGTGCTGTTCGCCTGCTAGACAGGACGCCTCGGCACCTTCGGTGCAGGCGGATTGGCGGATTTGGATTGGCGGATTTTTAGGAATTCGTAGGATCCAATCAATACAACCATCAATGGTAAAGCACATGTGCTCACACAGGAGCATTCAGACAATTTTCCCATGCGCTGCATGCCTTATATATATATATAAATAAATAACTTATATATGTGTATAAATAGATGCTAGATACACAAACAGAAACAAACAAACAGACAGACAAACAAACAAACAAATCAATGGATACATAGATAAATACATAAATAGATAAGTAGATAAATGGAAACAAATAAATAAAAATAAGTAAATAGATAAATAGACATAAGTAAATAAAAATAATAAATAAAAAAAATAAATAATTAAATGAATGAATGAAAAAACAAATGAACAAATGAATAAATGAAATAAATAAATGAATAAATGAAATAAATCAATAAACAAATAAATAATACATATACATATAAAGCATGTTCATCTTGTGTTCCCTATGTTCGCCCCCTTTCTGATCAATTGAAACGGCTTTGACTCAGGAATCGCACATCGTCACTGCATTTGAAAAACTAGGGTACATCTTGGTGGGTCGAGGTCGTGCGACTTGGCGTCATTTGTAGGATGTATGGTTTCACAGGCTCACAAACCAAAAACGGTTGCAGTACGAAGTGCGCTGCAACCCATGCAGCGGCTTGTTTGCAATGTAACGATATGGATTGTGCAATTCATTTCATGTTTGTGTTTGTGTGTTTATTCTAGTTTCATTTCATTTATTTTCTAAACACGGCCACTACCCACGAACCAATACGCAATAGCAATCTGAAGCAATCAGCAAGTTGAGTTTGGCCTGTCCGATCAGTTTTTGAAAGTTTGGACGCTTTCATTCGTTGCCATCTTGCCATGGGTCCTTTTCTTGGAATCTGAGAGTCTGCGTCTGCCATTCTTCTCGTGTTTGTTTTTTTGGTTCAATGGTTTCACTGCGGGTGGCACCAACACTGGGGATGGTCACCGCCACATGCGACTGAGGACACCTATTTGGCGCTGCAATCTGCAGCAACGTCCACCTCGATGCAAAACTGGTTGGGTTCATGGCGGTGTGCAGAATGTGCCACGCACAGAGTAGTTGTGTCATGTTTTGCTTTTTGTTAAAAGCGGTTTGACCGTTCAGCCGAGCATGTTGAGTACAAAATTCGTTAGATTGTTGCTATCTATTTGGCCAATCCAATAGCATGTCAAGGCAGCATCGCGTTACTTTTTTGAAACCAATTACAAACCTGAATAACATTTTGAAATATTTTGAGAGTGTGCTTACAGTGTGCTTGTGGTGTCTTGTGATTCAGGTAGGAGGGAGCATTGCTACCCGTACACCCTGACACCCGATGTGCTGTGCCAACCATGTGCTGACTGGGTTTGGAAAAACTGGTCCCAAAGCCAGCCAAAGAAGTGAAAATCAGAGCAGTGCCGAGCCTGGTCAAGCAGCCCATTCGCAACCAATCGACATTTCCAAATCGCCACAATGTTCGATACTTCCAAGAATTCCATTTTACGCAGGGATTTAAATGGTAGGCCAAGGCTTGCTATGGGAACCGGAAGACAAAGAACCTAGACACGGTACTACTTGCAGCCGGATGCAGCAAGATCAGCAAGAGAGTCGAAGAATAAAATTGCCGAAAGTAATAATCATAGGCATACCCACAAAGTCACGTCAGGTTGATCAAGAGCATGGTAAAACCACGGAAGATTGAAGTGTCAACAAGGCTAGCTATAGCAAGTGCATGCTGCTTCGTGTACAAAACAGATCTCAGGAGGAGTAAAAGCACTCTCCAAGCCTTGCAATATTTACATATATTTACTATTTGGATTTGGGCTTCACAACATACAGTACATGTGCAGAGGCAACCCTGTGGATTCCCTATGTTTTGGTGCGATCGGGCAGCTTGCCTTTCCAGGATGCTCATTTGACTGATGATCGCATTGTGCAAGGAGGATCAAGGGAGATAAACCATGCCAGCACGGCATGGACCCCTGAAAACAAAGCAGCAGATCAAAAGTCAGCAGTAAACAGATGTTTTGGTTCAAAGACGCAACATCCACTGAAGCATTTGGCAAGATATGGCAAGATCCTCGCAATGCGCAGCAATGTGTTTAGGATTTGGGGAATCGAGATGGCTTGAGCAGAATCTGGCTGGGACTGATTGGTGCTGCTTGGGCGCTTCCTGCACTCCGCGTTACCACATTGATTTGTTCAGATTCGTCAAAATATCGTTTGATTCTAAGAGTTTGCCAGGGTGAAGACCTGCGGCAAACAACTTACTCTAGTGAGCCTAGTGAGCCATGCTCATTTCAGCATGAGTTCAGGGACCTGGATTCATCGCTCACAAAAATCAGTGGCGGTGAGTTGAACAAGGCTTTGGGCCTTTGGGCAAAACGCTGAGAGCAACAAAGCGCACTTCCCATTCTCCCCAGTTTGGAACCTCACCGACACGTATCTACCTCTTTTGTTGTTTCTGTAATTCTGTAAAACTGTATGCTCATTCGTGTGCACGCTGTGTTTTTGCCGTTGTAGAATACTCAGGTTACCTCAGTGAAGAATCTGTTCAAAGATCAAAAGTTCATTCAAAGAACGACAAAGTCATGACAAGGGCTGCGGACAAGCAGGAAAGGTGGGTCGGAAAGACAGATTCACCCACTCTTCGCGAGAGGTATGGCTTTGTAGAGTTCAAGAACGAGGAGGATGCAGACTATGCCATCAAGATCATGAACATGATCAGGAACAATTCAGCCCGTTCAAATTATTTTTGTTTGGTTTTCTTTGATATCAAAGTGGACGGGTATGAGGTAAACTTGCGTGAGAGCAATACCACACTATAATACACTATATGGATTTAAAAAGTCAGGCAACGCTTTTTTGCAAGAAAGGCCCCGTCACAGGATCCAAAACAAAGGTTTCAGGATAGTGATAAGGATTCTCACCCAGCAATCAGAAAAGTGCTTTATATTATTGTTTTAGCACGTTCTGCCTTTCAAACCGCACAAGGCATTGCTTGCGACCGCAGGCTCTTTGGAAAGCCGATCAGATGTAACAAGTCTTCACAGGATAAAAAGACCAACGAGGTGCGTCGGAGGCAAAAGCATGTTATTTAGTTCGCGATTTTTTAACTGTTACATGCTCGCTCGATCAAAACAAGGTCGGCTGCGGCTAAGAAATGTGTCTTTGGCATATCAAATCACTCTTGGGTCTTTGCGTTTTTGTCCTCTGGGAGAACGCAGGTTGGGGCAAACCTCTTCATTGGAAACCTGGAGCCTGAGGTGTGAAGCTGGACAAAGCATATCAACAGATTTACTTTTGTTTAAATCAACTTGTTCTTTATTTTACTTGGTCTGAAGCTTCAAGAAGGCTTTACATGCTTAGAAATGTCTCACACGCTGAATGAAATCAAGCCAATCTGCGAATGCAGGTTGATGAGAAAATGCTTTATGACACCTTCTCTGCCTTCGGGGTGAGAGCCGCAGAGTGATGACATGAGTGTCACTGCCATTGGCAAAGACGGGACGGATGAACTTCGCTTGTCTCATTTAAACAGGGGCCAAGAAGTTCTTGCGCGTCATTGCCGGTTTATTACAAAGGCAATGCAAGGTGACTGTTCATGAAAGTAAACTTTCCGGCCTTGAGCATTCTTGAGCTATGTTGAGGGTTCCAAGACCTAGGGATCGCATTGAGATTCGCTCTTGGACACTCTTTGATCAGAGTTCGACCTCCCCCTGGCGTCCCCCCAGAGAGATGTATAAAATTGTATAAAGAAACATAAAGAAACAGCAACCTTATTAAGATATATTAAGATCTTATTAAGCGATTGGATTGGGGGTTCCCACCTATGATGCATGAACGAAACGAGCATGAACATGTGAGTCTAGGGAAGCGGTAGGAATTTCTCTTGTTAATGCGCTAACCAACAAGCATGTGAAAAAATGCCAGACTTACCCCATAATAAGGGTATACTATGTAGCGATCGTTTTGTCCGATCAACATTTATTGGGTCGTGCTTTCCCGCTTTAACATGTTTTTCGGAAATTACTTCTTCCTTGTTGAAATTAACGTCCGAAGGGAAAGCCAGGGTAAACATGGGGAAGATGTGTCAGCTGATATTTCTTCCCAGCTACCTGAATAAGGCCTTGTTAAAGGCTGCATTATTTGCGGAGTTGCTTCGGGCGACGGGGTTCCATTTTGTCGCTTTGGAACTCCCATATTTTGAAATGACTGCAACACATCGTTGGAACAATCAAACCATGAAATGGAGACGTCAACGATTGACTTCCATATGGGGTCTACGAAGAGATTTTCATGATCGCATTTGTCCAGTGAATTCATAGGCTCAATAAGGAACCCTTGAAACTTATTAAAATACGTAGTTCATTACTGTATTTAGGCTAGTCATCACCTCCTTTGGGATGACGCAACCCAAACGATTCAAACAGGGGTCTAGCAAGGTCTTATCAAGCTGTTATTAGATCCTTATTTGCAAAAGTTGCAGAAGACCTTTTTAATCTGCTAGTAACGGTTTACTAAACTCTTATTGTCAGTTTCTACCTGTCTGGATGGATTCCTTATTGCAGGAGGTCGAACTCCCATGGTTTGACGCTCTTGGACACAGTTGGACTCTCCAGGTTTTGCTCTTCGCGAAGGTGATGCGTGACCCTGACAACGGCGCGCAGAGCTAGTGTCGGGAAAAGCACAGATGATGGAATTCCCATGCAAAACAAAGATCATGCCCTTTTGACAAAGGCGTTTGCCCAATTAAAGAATGCAACCTGCAAGCAAGCATGAACCAGTTTGTGGTTTCTTCCCAAGTGTGAAATGATCATGGTTGCTTTGTTTGTTTCGGTTTTATCTTCGCTGTTTGGTCAAGGCGTTTCGCGTGGATTTGGCTTTATCTCCTACGACACCTTCGAGGCATCAGATGCAGCACTGGCCGGGATGAATGGGTGCGAGGCCAAGAAAAGGAAAGGGATCGGACGGAAAAGGAAGGAAAAGGAAGGAAAGCTTAGACGTCGCAGATTGTCCCCCGGACTGAAAGCAAAGGTGTTGGGCAAGTGGCAATGACAAAGGTTTAGGAAATGTATGGAACTGTTCATACTGTTGTGTTGCTGGCTCCATTACAGCTTGCGGAGGCCTGTGGTGAGTTGGATGTCTAGCTTCAGTGAAGTCATTACTGGCATCCATGGCTTCTTGTTTTGACTGAATGCCTATGACGAGTGATCCACATGTTTCTGGCATGGCAATTCTTTTCAGCTGTAAGATATTGTAAGTACCTGTGGCATCCTTATTCCCCCTTGAATCATGAACGCATATGTAAACGCGCGCAACACGCGTTTGGTCATGACGCTGAGGCAGTTCTTGTGCAACCGACCTATCAGTGTGTCGTATGCCTACAAAAAGGAAACAAAGGGAGAGAGGCTGGACATGGCCAGACATGGCCAGACATGGCTGGAGCGGCTGGAGGTTGGCTAACCTACAGTGTGCCATGGTGTCAACATGTGTCAACTTGAAAAAAAGCGAGGAATGCATCTACGGATTCATTCATATCCCAAAGCTGCAACGGGAGAAGGATACAGATGCTGGAAGATTTGTTAGCTGCTGATTTTGCTGGGGGTGATACCAGTTCTAGACTCAATGTATTCATCCCGCATACTGTGCTTATCCAACCATGCTCATTTTGAGGAATTCTAAGATATTGTAAGAGGCTAACCCCCCAGCGCATTGCAAAGCTGAGATGTCGTTTGGCAACCAGACCTGAAAACCTCGTGCCACACATTGAACCAGCTTCTGGAACCCTAAAATAGAGATGGATGAGCCGGGCAGGTTGCTGGCCCCATAGATAGATAGATATTTCCCCACATCTTTGTGTGGGGTTCTTGTTTTTGGTTCTGTATCCCGCCGCCTCCTCCTCCTCCTCCTCCTCCTCCTCCCGCCGCCTCCCGTCATCACACATACAACTTGTCATCACACAACTCACACACAACTTGCTCACATACAACTCAACTCGCACACAACTTGCTCACATATCACACATACAACTTGTCATCATATAACTTGCTCACACACAACTCAACTCACACACAACTTGCTCACACATACAACTTGTCATCATACAACTTGCTCACACACAACTCAACTCACACACAATTTGCTCACATGCAACTCAACTCACACAACCTGCCTTACTCATGTATACACACACGTGTCATCACACAACTTGTCCACACACAACTTGTTCACACACAACTTCCTCACACACAACTTGTCCACGCACAACTTGCTCACACACAACTTGTCCTTCCTGACATCCACCTTCGTGACAGGCGTGGCACTTGGCGACATCCACCTTCGTTTCACGTGGCAGGCGTGGCACTTGGTCACATCCACATTCGTTTCACGTGGCAGGCGCGGCACTTGGTCACATCCAGATTCGTTTCACGTGGCAGGCGTGAAACTTACGGCACTGGGCGGGCTCTGGTGGCGCACCGGGTTCTCAGCTGACGCCTTGGACGCCGCGGCTCTTTGCGTGGCAGGCGTGGCACTTGGTGACATCCACCTTCACTTTGCGTGGCAGGCGTGGCACTTGGTGACATCCACCTTCACTTTGCGTTGCAGGCGTGGCACTATAGGTGACAGGCGTGGCACTTGGCGACATCCACCTGCAGGCGTGGCACTTGGTCACATCCACATTCGTTTCACGTGGCAGGCGTGGCACTTACGGCACTGGGCGGGCTCTGGTGGCGCACCGGGTTCTCAGCTGACGCCGTGGACGCCGCGGCTCTTTGCGTGGCAGGCGTGGCACTTGGTGACATCCACCTTCACTTTGCGTGGCAGGCGTGGCACTTACGGCACTTTGCGTGGCAGGCGTGGCAATTGGTTACATCCACCTTCACTTTGCGTGGCAGGCGTGGCACTAGGTGACATCCACCTTCACTTTGCGTGGCAGGTGTGACACTTATTGACACTTATGACGCTGGCCTGGTTCGATTTAAGTTGTCACGTCGCTATCTCGCCTCATGTGCTGTTCACGTGCTTTTCGTTTCTTGGCTTTGTTGACGTCTTCGGCTTTTCGATCGAGGCAGGGGTAAGCTTTCATGCAGGCTGCTTTGTTCGATTTGTTGCAAGCATGATGCTACGAACGGATACGAACGGTGCTTCGGGCAGACTGCTCACGTTTTTGGCTGTTTCTCTGTGCGTGTTCAAATGCAGCAACATCTATTGCCGTTTCCATGGCTCATCAGGTGCACATGCACTCGCTTCATTGAAACCTCAGCAGAAGTGTCAAGTAGAACAGGGTCAGAAGAACAGGGTCAGATGTATATATGGATATTTTGTTCGATTTGTTGCAAACATGATGCTACGAACGGTGCTTCGGGAAGACTGCTCACGTTTTTGGCTGTTTCTCTGTGTGTGTGTGTTCAAATGCAGCAACATCCATTGCCATTTCCATGGCTCATCAGGTGCACATGCACTCGCTTCATTGAAAACTCAGCAGAAGTGTCAAGTAGAACAGGGTCAGATGTATATATGTATATGATGTAACAGTTTCCATGGTTCATCAGGTGCAAATGCAATCGCTTCATTGAAAACTCAGCAGAAGTGTTCTAGGAACTAGCAGACGTTGAGCATTAGCAGTGTTTCCAGCGGTGAACCCGCAGAAAGTCGTTATTTAGAACAGAGTCAGCTGTATACATGGCTATGATGCAACAGTTTGATCTGGCTGCCTTGACACGCCGTGTGAGGAGGTAGTCGGGAAGTTGTCCAGAGATTATCGGAAAGGGGTAGGAATAGATCAGAAACCTCAGCAGAAGTGTCAAGTACAACAGGGTCAGATGTATATATGGATATTTTGTTCGATTTGTTGCAAACATGATGCTTGGTGGCGCTTAGTCGAGTGAAGGATTGGCAACAGATCTGCGTGGCTGTGAGTGTGGTGGAGAATCCTGGCGCGATCGAACGACAGACAAAGGATGGCCCGGCAATGGTGTGCAATGCCATTGTGCAGCAGGGCGCAACCCGCGTCCGCTGCTCTTTCTGGCATGAGCAAGCACAGGAACTGGCGGAGCAGGCGGCCGGCGCTTGTCTGATGCTTTTATCAGGTTCTGATCAGCAAACGCAAGGACGAGAACTCATGGGAAATTGGCAGCTGGCGTGGCACAACTATCCTGCCGTGTTCGCCGGAAATGGCCGCAGTGCTGTGCTTGGGCCGCAGTGCGCGCGTGGTTTAGACGGTTGATTCTTTAGACGGTTGATTTTCGTTTGCAGGTCTTGGTCTTTTTTAGATTTTGTTTCATGTGGCTGCTTTTAACCGGATGTCAGGAAAGGCGAGCTGGCGCACAAAGACAATTGCCGCATGCTGACGGAGATTCCTGTGAAGGATTGGATCGGTTACCCGGCCACGCCATCGTCGCTGAGCAGCTTGGTGGGAGCTATAGTACCAGGACAGCTCCGGAAGTTGGAGACGGTCTTTGAGGTGGTGGGCCTGCAGGTGCTTGGCATCTCGTCCGTGAAGAGCGATACCGATCAGTGGCTCATCGATTCTTGTGTCAAGTGCAAGAAAGCGGCTCCGTGCGAGGCGTGGTGCACGTTTACATTCCCGCACACATGCGCACGTGTGCTCACGCATCAAGACATACAGGTTGTGAACTATTTATACATGGGTCATCCCCTCGTGTGACCAGGTGCACCCTATACCGAAGGCACAGAGAGGCGCTTCGCTTTGCGGTTGACTTTGGCCGATTCCAACTGCCAGTGCACTGTCGTCCTCTACCACGAGCTGGTCCTGCGAGCGGCCGCTGACATGGATGCTGCTCTGCCGGAGGGAGTCCAAGATACGCAGCCGGTGCGTGCCCAACTCCGTGATCTCTTTCGCGCTGCGCAGTGGCTGCGTCGCTTCACCTTCCGGGAGAATGATTACCAGCAGACATTGGAGTTGGAATGTCGACACCTGACGCCTTGTCTGCGTGCCAGCCGAGCTGAAGCTGTTGTCGCACCTGAAGCCCTGAACAGGAAAGTGTCCCACTGCCAGATGAACAACGTTTGCCCAGTGGCGCCATTGGCTACGTTGCAGGTGGATGCCCAGCTTGGCCTGATTTCGGTGGATGACGTGGAAGCAAGCTTCGTCAGATGCTTGGTGGCCTTCAATGACGAGCAGCTCCCCGACGAGGAAGCTCTGCAGCAGGACAACACGTCCACCTCGGCAATGCGCGTCAAGCGCTCCGTGGACTGCCTTATTGTCTGCCCCGGCTGCCACAGGTGCGCCGAGCCGGGTGAAGCTGCGTTGCGCTGGCCCTGCATCGGCGGTGGCATGGCTGCTGCGAGGCAACGTGGGCGAGACGCATTTCGTGGTGCTTGCTCACACCTCAGATGCTGGCGAATGGAGCGTGCTGTGGCACGTGCCCTTGGAAGCACATCGTGTGGAGGGAGTCAAGAACTTCATGCTGCGGATCTATGAATCTGAGGTCAAAAACCCACAAACACCCACCTACGACCAGGCATGGACTCCAATGAAACGTCTTGCAAGCGTCATGGAGACAGCGCCGGAGGACGCGTCGATGACTGAGGATGCCGCTTAAGGAGGCCCTGCGGCGCACGCGACTGGACTGCCGCGCCGTGCGAAGATTCCTTGTCGCTGCTAGCGGCTCTGCGGCGTGCGCGCCTAGATTGCCGCGCCGTGCGAAAATCTGGCGTCGCTCCTACAATTTTGATATCGCGCTCAGTGCCGAAGAAAAACGGCTGCTAAATGACATGGCATGTGCGCGCATGATCCGATGCTGTCAAGTGGCACGTCTGGTGAAAGCGTTTGCTGCCAGGTACCGCCTTCATCACGCAGATCCAGCACTCTCGTGCGTCGTGATCTTTGATCGTGCTGTTGCGGTTGACTGTGTTCACGTGTCTGTTATCCGCCTGTGATTCCAAAACTGGCAGTCTTCATGATAATGTCGCCGTGTCTTAACAGCAATGACAGGCCGTTGTTTTGTGTTGTTCTCTGCCAGGTACCGACTTCATCGCGCAGATGCTGCCGTTCCTGAACATCATGTTCTGTGGAAAAAAAGCGGGCACGCAGCTGATACATAGATACCTGCATACATACATACGTATAGACAACTTTATCCACACAACTGTTTTTACGTCTCGAACCTTTTCACCACCTCCTTTGTCTTTCCTTCCTTCCCCGTCACAACTTCTGCACGCACACACACACACACTTGCTCAGAAATGTCTTATCGAATTACTGATGTGGAATGCATCGGACGTGCAAAGACAACTCAGTTAAACCTAACAGGAGAAATGAAAATATAAAAATATTTTTTTTAAAAAAAAAATATATATATATATATATGGGACTGTGGTGGCCACCAGCTGCGACTTAAATGCGCCCAGGTGCGCCACCACAGTCCCGCAGGTACGTTTGCAC